AGGCTTTGGGTTGGCTTCCGATCTTCAGAAAAGTGGAACCAAGATTCGTAAGTACGAATCTTAGTTTATTTTTTTTGATTTTTTTTTTAATATTATTATGAACAGTTACTAATAACCGTTCTTTTCTTTTCTTTTTAGGTCTCAGGTGTCTCAGGTGGCTTCTGAAGAACGAAAAAAACCAAAGATTCGTAAGTAAGTACGAATCTTGGTTTTTTTTCTTATTTTTTTTAATATTATAAACGGTTACTAACCGTTCTTCTTTTTTTTTTATAGGTTCAGGTGGATTGCTAAAGAACAATCAAAGATTCGTATATACGAATACATGAATCATGTAATTGTGGAATTGTATTTGAATTAGCAATATTTTTTGTAAATTAGATAGATAATGCAATAATAATAATATAATTATAAAGTATTTAAGCATTAATAAATACATTTATTTAATAAATTTGATAAAAAAATCAAAATAAATTCATAAATAGATGGGTTGTTATTAGACCATAATTCGGCTTAAAGTTTTAATGTCGAATATTGGTCAATTTAAACCTGAATAATGGTTGAATAATTTGTCCAAATTTGGGACGATTGGCACCCTAAATGCGTCCAAAAATTTGACCTCAATTTGACACAGATTAGATCATCATTTGACCTATATTCGACCTGGTCAAATTTAAGTCAAATTGTTCTTTTTCGACTAGTGTAGTTTTTCAAATGTTAAGGTTCATTTTTTACCACCAAATACAACATCATTTCTTCAACCATTAGATCAAGGTATTATTTATAGTTTAAAAGCACAATATCGCAAATTGCTATGTCAAAATCATATTCAAGCTTATGATTTTTATGAAGAGGGAGACCCCATTCCACCCCCAATTAATATTTTTGATTCAATCAGTTTAATTGCTGATGCCTGGAAAAAAGTATCTAAAAAAACAATTCTTAACAGTTGGGCTAAAGCTGAAATCCTTCCCAATAATATGGAAGATTCTGAATATTCAGACAATTCCGATTATGAAGAAGATAATATGGACATGAATTACAATTATTAATTGATGAGTTAGGATTCATAGATCCTTTAGCTATGAATGACTATATTAATATTGATAATAGAGCATCTGCTGAAGAGAAATTATCATTACAAGAAATTGTTGACGTTGTAAAGGGAACAAATGAAAGGGAAATTGAAGAGGAAAAGAAGCAAGATGAAATCTCTACAATAGTTGCGTTAAATAGCATTGAAAATGTAATTAAATATATTCAACAAAAAGATTTAGAAATTGGTAATTTAGAAATGAAAAATTTAATTAAATTGAAAAAAAGGATCTTTTTTGATAATATGGTGTCGGAACTCTATACTCAAAAATAAAATTGTGATAATTATAAATCTTTCAACACTTTAATAAAATAAAATTTCAAAGAAATAAACTGGTAACTTTGTTCTACAAGACAAGTACTATTAAATTACCGGTCAGATTTTCAAAAAAATATCTACATAAAAAGTTATAAGCGTTTGAAATTTGGTTATTTTTATATGATTGGCCCAAATTTGAAACAAAAAGTCACATAAATGCATTTATTTTATGAGAATTTACATAATTTGTATTGACATTTAATTATTTTAAGGCTTAAAATGGCTTAAAATGTCCTTAATTTACTTAAAAATCTAAATTTAACTCCATTTTAGCTTGATTGTTCTTAAATAAATACTACTTTCTATACTTATCAGTGGAATTGAATTTTTGAATTATGACAGACGTAATTAAAATGCCGCAATTCACCGTAATTATATATTTTATTAGTAAACATTTGTACTGACGTAATTATTTTTGGCTATGCCGTAATATTTTGACATTGACTTTTTAATTCTACTGAGAAATATACTAGAAATATACTACTTTCTGCTTTATTCTTAAGCCGATTTCCTTTTTTTTCCTTTTTTGTATATGCTCGTATCTGTTTTTTCTAAAATTGTGAATTTTTATTGGTTATTGTACTTCTCACGTAATAAATTAAAAATTTGAAACATTTTTGAGTATAGAGTTCTGGCACCATATAAATGAAAAAAGGCAAAGTAAACTAAATGAATATTTTGATTTTAATGTATGACAGATAGTTCTTTTATAATAATAAAATTATATTCATTTTTGAATAAAATTTTGAAAATTTTGAACAAAAAATCACGTGATTTCTTGGTATTTTGGATTTTTCATATATTTTTATATAAATCCGGTTTGGCAAGATTTTTTCGATATATCGGATGTCTTGATATATCGGATATTTTTACTGGAACTAACTGATCTGATTTATCAAAATTGCCTGTGTATTTATGTTTAAAGTTGAGATACAAATTTTTAATATATATAGTAAGTGCTAAGAATTATATTAATTTAAAAGAAATATTTACCAACTTATAGTATAATAACATTAAATAAAAGTTTTTTAATACTCAGTTACTCCTAATTTACTGTATATTATATAGTATTTTGTATAATAAAAATGTAATAAAATCAATATTTTAATTAAAGATAGACAAATCAGCCCATATGAGTACAATACATTTTCATATATATGCAATATATGTAACTTATTAACTAATATTTATACAAGTTATGTAAATTTATTTATTATATATTATAAAAGAAAATTATATATTAAAAGGATTACGCAAATTATTTTTAAATATAAATTCTAATTTCTATTTAGCATTAATATTTTCTGCTAGATGTTTCAATATCTTTAACATTTATATCACTAAAATCTTTTTTACTTTCACTATATTCATCATGTTTACCATCATACTCATTATCTTCATTTTGCTGTAGTTTTTCTAACCATTCATTTAAATGATCATTAAATTGAAAATTCAAATTTTCTTTTAAATCTATACTATTTTGATCATTATTAAGATCATTATCATTTAATTCTTCATTTTGTAAATATTTTTCATTTTCATTTTTATTTCATTTTCATTATCATTTTATTTTTATTTTTATTTTTGGTTATTATTATTAGTAGATTCTAGTGCTCCGTACGAGCCAATCCAGCTCGAGCCAGCTCACGAGCCAGGTATATCAAGCTGAGCTGAGCCGTGGCTCATAATAAATTTGGCTCAGCTCATTCAAGCTGAACTTTGATACAGCTCGTTCGAGTTAGCTCGCGAGTTATGAGCTAGTTCGCGAGCTCCAGAACTTTTTTTCTTTATTATTGCCGGCATCACGTGATTTTTAATTTTGGCCAGAATTAAGTGATCAACATGGAAATTTCCTTTTTTAGAATCCTGTGCAATGCATTTCCCCATTTTTGATAAGAAATAAAATTGCCTTTTGGATTGTATAACGTTACTCAGGTGTTCAAAAAAGGAAATTTCCATATCAATTATTTAATTCCGGCCAAATTAAAAAAATCACGAGAAATATGCAGAATTTGATAAAAGCTCAGTTCAGCTCGAGCTAAGCCACCTTAAAACTCAGCTCGGCTCGACTCGAGGTTGGCTCAATACAAGCCAAGCTCGAAAATTCTAATCGAACCGAGCCTGCTCAAATTTTAGCTCGGCTCGGCTTAAGCCGACTCGTGCGGAGCTTTAGTAAATTCTTGTTGATCATTATTATATCGATTATAGTTATAGATGCTGTCAGAATTATTTTTACGGTTATAGCATATGCCGTAATGCTATAATTAAATGCCATAAATCGTAAATACCGTGATGCTGTAATGCCATAATGCCGTAATTTAATTTAACGCCGTAATGTTGTAAATAAATATGCTGTAAATGAATAAGACTAAACTTAATTTCAGCTAAGTTCGCAATGCTGGATCAATTTTTTTTCATGTTTTATCACGTGACATTACACGGATTTCAAAAAAATGAAATTTTGTCCCTCAATAAAATTGAATAATGAGTTGCACAAAGTTACACAAGATTCCAAAAAAGAAAATATTCATATCAATCATTTAGCATTTGTAAAGGTCATGTGATCGTGATTAATTATAACCTGATACCTCATCATTCGACCAGTAGTTTAGTAACGTTTCTTAAAGAATATAATAAAAAAATCTACTCCCTAACCTCCTTTTTTACCTAAATTCCAAAGTCCAGTTCGTATTATTTGTCTGGCAACCTAAAAAAAAGAAAGAGAAGCGTTAGAACGTTTCTCTTAAAAAAAAATATTATTCCTCCTCTCCTTCACTTTACATAATTCCAAAGTCTGGTTTGTAGTTTTCGTCCAGCAACCTAAAAAAGAAGCATTTAGTAATGTAATAAAATAAAAAAAACCCACTTCCTGACTCCTCTTTTACCTAAATTCCAAAGTCTGGTTCGTATTATTCGTCTGGCAACCTAAAAAAAAGAAAGAGAAGCGTTAGAACATTTCTCTTAAAAAAATAAAATATTATTCTTCCTCTCCTTCACTTACATAATTCCAAAGTCCAGGTCGTATTATTCGTCTGGCAACCTAAAAAAAAGAAAAAGAGAAGCGTTAGAACGTTTCTCTTAAAAAAAAATATGTTATCCCAGTTTGTAGATATGATATTGACCGATTGATGATCAATTTCTTTTCCTGCAATTTGTGTCATTCGTGAATTGGGTGAGATGTGATCCGTAATCTAGATCAGGATAATCTGATTTGGAAAAAAAAATTTCTTTTTTGTGAACAAAAAAAATTGCCGGACTTTGAGAATTGAAGTAAGAGAGGAGTTTTTCGTTGTTTTTTTTTAATAAATTAAACTAATTTATTTTTCTCTTTTGTAGGGTTACTGAATGAAAACTAGACTCTTGGAATTGAGGTAAGGGAGGGCTGAGGGAGAAGGTTTTTCGTTTTTTTTTAATATATTTTTTTCTTTTTTGTAGTGTTGCCAGATGAAAAATATTGCCGGACTTTTGGAATTGAAGTAAGAGAAGGCTGAGGGAAAGCTTTTTCATTGTTTTTTTAATAAATTAAACTAATTTGTTTTTTTCTTTTTTATAGAGTTGCCAGACGAAAACATTGCCAGATCTTTGGAATTGAAGTAAAAAAGGGCTGAGGGAAAGCTTTTTCATTGTTTTTTAATAAATTAAACTAATTTATTTTTTTCTGTTTGATAGGGTTGCCAGACAAAAAACATTGCCGGACTTTTGGAATTAAGGTAAGGGAAGGTCGGGAAAAGGATTTCATGATTTTTTTTTTTAAATAATTTAATTTATGGTTTTTCTTTTTTTAAGGTTAGCCAGACAAAAAATATGATCAGATTTTTGGAATTGAGGTAAAGGAGGACTGAGCAGAATCTACTTTTTTGTAGAGTTGCTGGATGAAAATATACTAGTGTTTCGTTCCTTTAAACTAATTTGAATCTTGATGAAAAATAGAGTTGTTTCTTTTCTAAGCAGATCCAAGGCATTGGAAAGTTTGGCTGGAACCTGGAATTTTTTAGACGTTTCTGGATCATTGATTTCGGTGGAACAGAGCAATTTTTTTTTTTAAAAAAAATTTTTTTATAACGAAATGCTTACTAACGTTTCAATTTTTTTTTTTTTATAGTTGAAGTATTCAAATTCGGTGAGCATTGTTTTTTATCTTTAATTCTTTTAATGAATAATCCCTAAAGGTTTATTCTTTTTTTTTCTTCTGTAGACGGCTGGTGCTTTGGAACATTTGGATGCATGTGAATCGGTAAGGAAGGTTTTTTGAATAATGAAGCGATACGGTTACTAATTATTTCATTTTTTTTTTTGTAGATAGTGATATTGGAATTCGGTGAATTTATTATTCAAAATATATTGTGAAGGCAATTGGATGATGATTATCTAACGAAGATTATGTAAAAGCTGTCTCTTATACACATCTAGATGTGTATAAGAGACAGAAGTAAGGGAGGGCTGAGAGAAAGCAGCTTTTTCGTTGTTTTTTAATAAATTAAACTAATTTATTTTTTTCTGTTTGATAGAGTTGCCGGACGAAAAACATTGCCGGACTTTGGAATTAAGGTAAGGGAAGGTCAGGGAAAAGAGTTTCGTGATTTTTTTTTTTAAATAATTTAATTTATGTTTTTTCTTTTTTTAAGGTTAGCCAGACGAAAAATATGATCGGATTTTTGGAATTGAGGTAAAGGAGGACTGAGCAGAATCTACTTTTTTGTAAGGTTGCTGGACGAAAATATACTAACGTTTCATTCCTTTAGACTAATTTGAATCTCGATAAAAAATAGAGTTGTTTCTTTTCTAAGCGAGTCCAAGGCATTGGGAAGTTTGACTGGAACCTGGAATTTTTTAGACGTTTCTGGATCATTGATTTCGGTGGGACAGAGCAATTTTTTTTAAAAAAAAAAATTTTTTTTATAACAAAACGCTCACTAACGTTTCAATTTTTTTTTTTTGTAGATGGTGATATTGGAATTCAGTGAATTTATTATTCAAAATATATTGTGAAGGCAATTGGATGATGATTATCTAACGAAGATTATGTTATGGAGTCTTTAAACAAGAAAATTTAAAGGTTCTTAAGATCTCCTTAAACGTAAGTATCGTTATGTTTATTTTTTTTTTAAAAAAAAAATAATCTTTTTTAAAGTCTTTGAACAAAAAAATTTAAAGGTTCTTAAGATCTCCTTAAACGTAAGTATCGTTATGTTTATTTTTTTTTTAAAAAAAAAAATAATCTTTTTTAATGAATCGTTTATTAAAATGTTTCGTTTATTTCATTTTTATAGACGACCAATTCTTCATTATCTTTGGACATGGATTTTGGTAAGGGGTGAATATTCTTGGATTATTTATTTAATTAAATAATTACTAATGTTTGTTTGTTTAAAAATCTTTTAGACAGCTCTTCTACTCTTTAAACGTGGGAATTTGGTGAGTGTGATGTTTCTTTTAATTTTTTATTCTATCTTTTAAAGGACATTAACTAATTTCTTTTTTTTAGATGGTTTGTTTCTTAGCTCTTTGGACGTGAAATTCGATGAGAACATTCCTTTAACAAGACGTTTTGTATTCCAGGTCTTTAGATGAGTGAAAACTTTCGTAGGGATTAGGCCATCGAATATAAATCTACTCCACTTTTCCAACACTTTTGCCGTCTTTTCCATTCCTTTTCCATCCCTTTCCACACTTTCGTCTCCCCTTTTCCATTCTTTTTTCATTTCCATTTCTTTTATCTTTTTTAGATGACTTCTCAGCCCTTTGGATATGGCATTCTGGTAAGTTTTGTAATGGTTCTGTAAGGTAAAATCAAATATTAGTCCAAGATGGTTTTCAGTATATAATAAGGTAAAATTGTTTATATTTCCGAACCTGTATAATATTTAGTCATTAGCGGATTAGATTTTTTCAATAACGGATTTAATAACATGTTTTAAAATATTTTTTTTTATACAGTTTTTATAAACTGGTTCAAAACTCTTTAAACTCCATATGGGAAGAGTTATATAGGATATCTGATGGAAAATTTTTTTTAAGAGATTTTCTAAGAGTTCATATGGGAAGGGTTCGTATGGGATATCTGATAGAAAATTTTTTTTTTTGAGAGATTTCCTAAGATTCCACTGGTCGAATGATGAGGTATCAGGTTATAAGCTATCATGATGTATCGGTCAAATAGGACCCCGAACAATATATATAAAGGTAGGTTTTGAGTTTGCTTAACCAACATATAAAAATTTTTCCTATGTGAGATTTATTATTGCTTATTTGATACCATAATTTTTAAATAGTCAGATATAATTATGCGTAGCAGAGTATTAAATTATTAATAGTCAGATATATATTTGCGTAGCAGGATAGAATTTTTTAATATATATATATAATAT